GAAGCCTGAAAAGTTTCTAGAAGGCAGTGGGTGGGGGCAAAGAGGGGCTGATCTGCATAGTTAAGGGATCTTGGCTAATTCCCAAGCAGAAGGCTAAGCATGGGGCCAGGACAGCCCTTAAATATGATCGAGCCTGCTCAGTAAGGGAGTAGTGTTGGGTGGAAGATGGAGTGAAGGTCGGAGTGTGGAGCCTGGAAGGGGGCCCAGGAGAGGGGCATGCCTGCAGGCAGGAGCTGGAAGGGAGGATCTTTCAATCCACTGAGAGAGGACAGCCTGGGAAGCAGGGAAGGAGCCAGTCCAGTGTAAGCCCTGAAGACAGCCACCAACCCACAAGCTTACAGGAGAGGACTGAGTGAGTAATCCCACACCCCCTGGGCCAGATAAGGGAAGAGGGCATTTTGGTGGGAACCCTGACTAGCCCCCATTTGTGACTGTTGATTTAAAAGTGGCAGATTCCAAGTCCCCTTGCCCAGGGATTCCCTCAGGCAGCTGGGTGAAGAGGAGAATCCATCTGGGGTCTGAGGTGGTGAGCTTTCCAAGAAGAGAATCTCTGTCAGTGGACTTGTACATAGCTGCTAAGGGGTTGTCCTCAAGTTGCAGTTTCCTTGGGCATCCCATATACCCCTCAACTCCATCCAAGCTCAATACCCCTTAAAAAAAAAAACAAGATCAAGGACTGTTTACTGACTCCAGTATGCAAGTGGGGAAGAAAATGCATGTTGCCTGGCTGGGCAGGACTATAGGGGGACCTAAAACTCAGCGACTACTAAGGAAGTAGTGCTACACAGGGAAACACAGTTTTTTGTATCCAGTGTGTTGCACTTTACTAAGTTGTAATAAATAAAAACTATTAGAAGAAAAATGAAGGAACTTTTATGATCACATGCTATGGTCAGTTGCCATTTTTGCCTATGTTTCTTGCATTATAGGAGACAGCAATTTATAATCCTGACACCTTCAGAAATGTTGTGTCTGGGTCAAGCCCTTCCACTACACCATACTAATACATGGCAACAATGTCACAGGATTAAAACTCACTTCTTCAGGTTTGATGACCTTTGTTCAAGTTCAAAGACATGAGATACAATTCTTACTTTTCGAAAAGTCGGGGGATTTAGGACATCATAAAAGAACTGAACTGGCCCCTTATCAGAGTTAATGGAGTTGATCGTCCTGACACCCATTAGATCTGAAGAAGTGGCTTGGATAAGCTGCAAAATGACTTCAACATTACAGAACAAGTCCAGCCGAATGTGACTGACTACTATACCTGGATAGATGACAACCAACATAGAGAAAAATTGGGACCTTTCTTGGAAGTCAAGGACATTGGCATTGTGTACCAGGGGTAGGATGTTGGTGGCTTCCAGCAGCTGTGGTGTGATATTTGTGCACATCTCTTTTCCCATGGCCCCGCTCGTCCTCCTTTCACCCGCTGTGTGTGGGAGGAGGGGAGGGATAGTGGTAAGGCCCCGCTCTTCGCATTGATCTTCCATGAGCAAAGATGAGGCTTTCTCAGCATGAAAATTCCATTAAACAACCTTCCCCGATATTCAGCCTCCGCACAGAAGACAAGGAGAAATAAATGCATTTCTGGCCCAATAGAGGAAACTGTGATGTACAGGAAGACCACCATCATCTAGGCAGCTATGAAAACCCTTCCCTTTAGCTCATTTATATAGTAATAAAATAAATTATTAATATTATTATTATTATTAGTATTATAAAAATCAGATCAGCTTGTTTAAAGTAGATGTAAACTTTAACTGAATGGCATTGATTTTGCAAAAGTATTATGTGTCACACAATGGGAATTTGTTTCCTCAATAAAATACTTTTTTGATTATAGTTACATTGTTAGTCTGGCTGAAAAAAAGACAAAAGTCCATCCAGTTCAACCATTAAAAAAAAAAAGTTATAATCCTACACCCACAGTTGATAGAGAGGAAGGCAAAAAAAAAATAGCAAAGTATGATCCAATTTGCTCCTGCAGGGAAAAAATTCCTTCCTGATCCCCCGAGAGGCAATCGGATATTCCCTGGATCAACTTTACCTATAAATGTTATATCCAGTTATATTCTGTGTATCCAAGAAACAATCCAGGACTTTTTTAAAGCAATCCACTGAGCTGGCCAGAACCAACTCTTGAGGGAGTCTATTCCACATTCTCACAGCTCTTACTGTGAAGAAACCTTTCCATGTTTGGAGATGAAATTTCTTTTCCTCCAGACGTAAAGAGCGCCCCCTTGTCCTCTGTGATGACCTCAGGGTGAATAGCTCTACACTGAGTTCACTATATGAACCACTGATGTATTTATACATGGAGATCATATCCCCCCCCCCCCTTATGTATTATACATGGAGATCATATCCCCCTTATGTATTATACATGGAGATCATATCCCCCCCTTATGTATTATACATGGAGCTCATATCCCCCCTTATGTATTATACATGGAGCTCATATCCCCCCTTATGTATTATACATGGAGATCATATCCCCCCTTATGTATTAAACATGGAGATCATATCCCCCCTTATGTATTATACATGGTGATCATATCCCCCCTTATGTATTATACATGGAGATCATATCCCCCTTATGTATTATACATGGAGATCATATCCCCCCTATGTATTGTACATGGAGATCATATCCCCCCTTATGTATTATACATGGAGATCATATCCCCCCTTATGTATTATACATGGAGATCATATCCCCCCTTATGTATTATACATGGAGATCACATCCCCCTTATGTATTATACATGGAGATCATATACCCCTTATGTATTATACATGGAGATCATATACCCCCCTTATGTATTATACATGGAGATCATATCCCCCCCTTATGTATTATACATGGAGATCATATCCCCCCCCTTATGTATTATACATGGAGATCACATCCCCCCTTATGTATTATACATGGAGATCATATACCCCCCTTATGTATTATACATGGAGATCATATACCCCCCTTATGTATTATACATGGAGATCATATCCCCCCCTTATGTATTATACATGGAGATCATATCCCCCCTTATGTATTATACATGGAGATCATATCCCCCCTTTATGTATTATACATGGAGATCATATCCCCCCCTTATGTATTATACATGGAGATCATATCCCCCCTTATGTATTATACATGGAGATCATATACCCCCTTATGTATTATACATGGAGATCATATCCCCCCCTTATGTATTATACATGGAGATCATATCCCCCCTTATGTATTATACATGGAGATCATATCCCCCCTTATGTATTATACATGGAGATCATATCCCCCCTTATGTATTATACATGGAGATCACATCCCCCCTTATGTATTATACATGGAGATCATATACCCCTTATGTATTATACATGGAGATCATATACCCCCTTATGTATTATACATGGAGATCATATCCCCCCCTTATGTATTATACATGGAGATCATATCCCCCCTTATGTATTATACATGGAGATCATATCCCCCCTTATGTATTATACATGGAGATCATATCCCCCCTTATGTATTATACATGGAGATCATACCCCCCCTCCCTTAAGCTCCTCTTCTCAAGGTGTTTTTGTTGGCTTTCAGTCCTGCTGATCTAATGCAGCCTCTTTGCAGCCACTTCTTTTCAATGTGACTCCAGTGATGGATAGGTGTCATTTCTCAGGGAGGATTTCCAGATGGTGACAACAGTAGACCATGCTTGTGAAAATTGTGTTGTGATCTCCTTTGGAAGCTTATGTGACATGGTGACAACTGGGAGACATGAACGGAGCATTAGTCAAGGGGTGTCAGATTATCAGAAGATAGCAACCAGGAAGTGTCCACTTGTACAGCATAGGGGCCACAGAGGACCCCTTCATCAAGGCAACAGAGTGTTGTTACCCTATAACATGAAGTGCCTGAACAAGGACCTTCATGGTAGTATCAGCAGATAATTTCTTCAACCACTTTGAAGCTTTTTACCTCCTTCATGACCAGGCTATTTTTTTTTTGCTCTAACTGGTAATTGCACAGTCATGCAACACTGCACCCAAATGAAATTTATATAATTTTTTTTCCACACAAATAGAGCTTTCTTTTATTATTACGGGTACTTATATACTGCAGTCAATGTATGCAGCGCTTTACATATATAACCCTCAAGGGGCGTACAATCTAAAGTCCCTAACTTACATTCACATACTGGGGCCAATTTAGACTGGATCCAATTAACCTACAACATGTCTTTGGAGCATGGGAGGAAACCCACGCAGGCACAGGGAAACATGGCCCCTCCTATCCAGGTGTACAGGTGGCCATACGGGCACCCTGGAGCATGGGGCCGGGTCCAAAATTGCAACCCCTGGGACCCCTATACGTATGCTCCTGGGATAAGTGTTAAAGGATAATTTTAGGTGTTAGATTAGGTATCAGTGTTTAATTGTAATGAATGCTTTCAGTGTGGCGACAGAATAAAGTAAAAAGCAACAACTGAGGGCTTATGTAGTCCACTGTCTGCTAAAGCTACTGCTTTTTTTCCAATTACTTTATGTTCCAGATTTGCATTAGGCATTGTAAATTATTGAGCAGATAGTTCCTCGAATACTCTGCCTGTGCACTGACACTGAATATGTTCTTTTCCAGGACTACATATGAGAACATGGCCAGTACGGACGAAGACCTGATCGGTATACCATTCCCGAACCATAGCAGTGATATCTTATGTGGGCTAAACCAACAAAGGCAGGACGGCCTTCTCTGCGATGTGATCCTTATCATACAAGATCAGGAGTACAGGACGCACAGGTCGGTGCTCGCAGCCTGCAGTCAATATTTCAAGAAACTCTTCACCACTGGCTCCATGGCGGACCAGCCTTACATCTACGAGATCGACTTTGTCAAGCCAGATGCATTCTCCGCCATATTAGAGTTTGCTTACACATCCACACTCACCATCACAACGTCCAATGTTAAACATATTCTCGACGCTGCTGAAATGCTGGAGATCCAATGTATCATTAACGTGTGCCTGGAGATATTGGAGACGCCGAGAGACGGTGAGGAGGATGATGATGAGAAGGAAGAAGATGATGATGAAGATGATGATGAAGAAGATGAGACCAAAGACTTTGTTGACCAGGAAAATCGAATGGATATTCAGGAAACCAGCTTCAACCAAAGCCAACCGGAGTCCGATGAAACTGAGGAATCTTACCGTGAAACTCAGAAGGACCTGTCAACCCATTACACTTCCACCAACAGTTCTTCTGGCCACCAAAGTGCCATTAAAGACTTTTCAATCAAGTCACTGTTGAGTGAAAACCTTTACCCAAAAAGCACAGCAGAGAAAAGGCCACCCATTTCCCACTTTGTTCCTGGTTTCTTTCCGCAGCTCTGGAATGGTGATCTGGTGAACTTCTCCCAAGTCCAAGAACAGCCAGTAGACACCGGACCCCTGGATCTTGTGATCAAGGACAGGAAAATTAAAGAAGAGGAGGAGAATGTAGAGATCCCAGCTCTACCATTTCCTACAGACTTCTTCAAGGATATGTTTCTTGAGCATTCCACCAAACATTTTGGGCAGATCAAGGCCGAAATGGATTATAGTGCTTACCTAAGCTTTCTGAGTGCCGCACATCTGGGCATGTTTCCTCCATGGCCTTTGGAAGAAGAGAGGAAGATCAAGCCGAAGGCCTCCCAACAATGTCCCATATGTCACAAGGTCATTATGGGAGCTGGGAAGCTTCCGCGGCACATGCGGACCCATACAGGAGAAAAGCCTTACATGTGTAATATCTGCGAAGTTCGTTTTACCAGGTCAGAGACTAAAATAAACAAAAAATGTACAGTTTTTTAAAGGGTTGGGTTCTCTCTGGAGATGGGAGCTATCTGGTGATAAGTCCTCTTTGGGGAGAATCTCATTTTATTGGTCTAAGTGGCCATGTCCATGAGATAAAAAATGAAAGGAAATACAAAAACTTTACAACCAAACACCAAGAATAAATTAAATGGGACTTTGATTATGCCTCGAAAAAATTCATATCAAATATTTATTGGAAAAGTACATTAAAAAGTACTCACTGCACATATACACAAAAAGTGTCCAGTAAAATACAGTATATTGTATTCTGTGAAACGTGAGGTTGATGCAATGGTCTACACGTTTCACGGGCAACCCATTTCATCAGGACCTTTAAGAGCCTCAATTGGAATTTCTCCTGTGATTTCTTGTAATTATATATATATAAACCTCCTTCTCATCCTACACTGCTTCCTAGGCAACATGTCCATCACATTGCAAGGGGATGCCTTCCTTCCAACATGATAACATGTCCATCACATTGCAAGGGGATGCCTTCCTTCCAACATGATAACATGTCCATCACATTGCAAGGGGATGCCTTCCTTCCAACATGATAACATGTCCATCACATTGCAAGGGGATGCCTTCCCTCCAACATGAGAACATGTCCATCACATTGCAAGGGGATGTCTTCCCTCCAACATGAGAACATGTCCATCACATTGCAAGGGGATGCCTTCCTTCCAACATGAGAACATGTCCATCACATTGCAAGGGGATGCCTTCCTTCCAACATGAGAACATGTCCATCACATTGCAAGGGGATGCCTTCCTTCCAACATGAGAACATGTCCATCACATTGCAAGGAGATACCATACCTATGCTGAGAGCCACAATTAGAATGACTGCTCATGACTAGGAGCCCAGGCTGTCTCTGGTTGGTTGCTGAGCTACCAGGTTGATGGCGCATTGGAGGGTCCTCCCCATGGGCCAGGGGAGGCTTGATGTTTGTACCCATGCTGGCACCCAGGAAGCAGTATAGGATGAGAAGGAGTGTTATATATATCATTACACAAAAACACAGGAAGGAAAAACTCCATCTGAAGTTTTTGGAGGACCTGATGAAGCGTGTTGCCCCACGAAACGTATAGACCAATTAACCAACCTCACGTTTCACAGTATACTCTGTTTTATTGGATGCTTTTTCTGTAGAAGTGCAGTGAGCATTTTTTAACCTTCCTGGCGGTATTCCAGAGTGTAGCTCGGGGTAAAGTTTCAGTACCACAAGTGGTAACCCCGAGCTACACTCAGGCTTACCATGCGGCGCTGCTGCTCCGGGATCTGTTCTTCTCTTACCTTGTCCTGCGCTCCCCCCGCGATGTCCCCCCTGCAGCAACCCTGCAATGTCCTCCGGCCGATCCCGGCATCTGTCATCTGGGTTCCAGTCCCTGCGAGTGTTGGGACGTACAGGGACGGAACGGCGGGAAATTTGAAAATGACAAAAAGTGACATTCACTAAATTCACTAAAATCACATAGTATAACATTCCTGTATCAAACCAGTTCACATACATTTTGTCCCGAGTGCTTTGTCCGGCGCCCTGCCTGCATTTTTACTGTTCTTTCTGCCTGGAAACTGAGAAAAGTCCACGGCGTCCAAAAAGCGTCCCTTTAGGTCAAAAGCGGTTTTAGACCGGCTAGAGAACAGCGATAGTAAATCAGAACCACTTGCAGAATTGAGTGATAATGATTCGTGGGGGAAATTCCTCATCAGACACTGAAAACGATTCTGCGACTTTGCTCAGCGATGTGCGAACTTGGCGCTCTATTTCAAATTTCAGTGTTTTTTGTTTGATTATATTATTGAATTACATTTATTATTATTATATTATTATTTTTTATGATTATTTATTAAATTATAATTTATGATTTCGTGTTTCAAATTTTATCATACCCGGGATGTTTGCTGGACTCTTGTTCGGACAGATTTCAGTGAGTTATTCCTAAGAATTACAGCCTACAATAAAAAAAATACATATTTCCATGCAAAAAAATGTACCGCTTTGAGCACAGAAATATGGACATAATCAGACCGCTAGGGAGGTTAATGTACTTTTGAAAGAAATATTTTGATATGAATTTTTAACAATTTGGTGCTGTGACTGCTGCAGTCATAATTAAAATCCCATCGAATTTATTCTTGGTGCTTGGTTTAAAAAGTTGGTGATGATGCCTCTTACAGCACCTAACCTTCTTTAACACTCTATTGTTATATATGTTATGATATAACCACACAAATTTCACAGTTGTCACCAGAACATGAAGTGAGGAGAAATCTCCTAATGGACACCCATGCTTTGGTGACAACTGTCTAAGAGAGGATTTCTCCTCAATTGCAGAGATTTCCTGCCACTTCTGAAGTGAAGGGAAATCTCCCCTATGGAACCAGGGTCTGTGTTTCCACTAGGCAAACTAGGTGACCGCCTAGGGCGCACTGCCACTTAGGAGCGACTGGGCATATCACTCTCTTTGTGTGGGACGCCACCAGTTCATGAATGATCCTTCAGCTGAGAGGAGGGGCAGCAGAGGGGAGGAAGAAAGGACAGAGGAAGATGCCAGGTGTCAAGGGCCAGTGTAGCAGCTGAGTCGCTGCTCCTTTCAGTGTTCCTCTCAGACTCAGTCCCTTACTGCAAGCTGGCTGGCAGCTGCTGATCAATGTGCAGTTCCAGCACTTCTCCTCCCATTCATCAGCACAAGCGGAGCTGCACCTGCGGAGGAAGGTAATGTCTGACTCTGATGTGTCCTGTCTGTGTGAGTGTGACCCGGCCGGCCATGCATCACATGTGCGATGTGTCAGTGAGTGATGCTATCATCCCACAGCCTGGTCTTCTGGTGCCCGCTGATCTGTGTCAGTGTTGGTGGTGGTGTGTTGTGCCTGGGATCTATCAGAGTGTGGATCTATCCTCCTCCACTCACTGCAACTGTCACCCTGCCACTGCCAGCCACAGATACAGTCCATCCGTGGCACTGATTTTGTCTTTAATATTGGCATTGGTGGCATCTTATGGCACTTATTTTTGCAATTTAAAAGAAATGTAGCCGTTTCACGTTTTGTTGATTAAATATATTGTCTATGGTTTATAAATGTATTTATTTATGGGTGGGGGTGCGCAAGTAGCTGGTCTTGCCTAGGGCGCAAAATAGCCTAGCACCTGCCCTGTATGCAGGGGCGGACTGACCATTTGGAAACTCGGGCACTGCCCGAGGGCCCGGGGTCAGTAGGGAGCCCCATGAGATGCCCCTGGTACCTTTTTCATAGGCTTTTTTGAGTTTGGGCAAGGACACAGGGGCCCCATGATCCCCTATTGTCCGGGGGCCCCATGAGTTGTCAGTCCACCCCTGCCTGTATGGAACACAGACATAAAAAAAAAACTACTGGGTCTCTGTTCATTATCTACTCTTTCCAAACACTTTGGCTGGGAAAAGGAACCAGAAAGGTCTTTCTAGGCAACCAATAAGGCAAAAGCCGGTTCTCTGTCCGTGTAAAAATGTTCTTATTCTCGAATCCTCAGATTTTTTTAAAATCATATTTTACATTCCACCCATATTTACAGTTCTCCTTCTATTACACATCCCCCCCCCCCCCCACGTCTGTAAAGATGACCTCATACGCTATTTAAAATATCTGTAAAATGTGAGGAACCTTTAGCCGAAGCAAGCATCTGAGTGATTATGTGCCTCTTAGGACAATGATGCAATAATTACTGGTGGGGAAGGTTTTGGCCTCATGACTTTAAACAGAGAGACATGTGAAGGTCTGTTTTCAGAACAAATGTATAAAACATGGGGCAGGGAGAGACCTTCCATGGGAGGCAGGTTATAGAGCAGACCATGGGACTCTGCTGCCATCTAAAGGCCAATGTTAAACATAGCCAGAAAAATAAAATCGCATTGGCAGATTGCACCATTGATGATTATTATTATTATACAGGATTTATATCGCACCAACAGTGTGCGCAGCGCTTTACAAAATGAAGGTAGACATTACAGTAACAATACTATTTGGTACAAGAGGACACAGAGGGCCCAGCTCATCAGAGCTTACAATCTAGGAGGAAGGGTTGAGTGATACAAAAGGTAATAGCTGTGGGGGGATGAGCTGATGGAGGAAATAAATGGCGGTTTACTATTTAGAAGCTGGATAAGCATCTTTAAAGAGAAGGGTTTTCAGGATCGTCTAAAGGTGGATAGATTAGGAGACAGCCGACAGATTGGGGTAGAGAATTCCATAGGATGGGAGAAGCTCGGGAGAAGTCCTGGAGGTGAGCATGGGAGGAGGTGACACGGGAACTAGAGAGTAGAAGGTCTTGGGAGGAAGAGAGCGGTTTGGTTGATATGTTGACACCAGGTTGGTGATGTAGCTGGGGGCAGAGTTGTGGATGGCTTTGTAAGTTGTTAGTATTTTGAATTTTATTCATTGGGCGAGTGGAAACCAGTGGAGGGATAGGCAGAGAGGAGTGGAGGACATGGAGTAGAGGCCAGTGGAGGGATTGGCAGAGAAGGTGTCAAGGTCCTACCTTTTCCCTGAGGTTATGTTACTCCATGTGCTGGCGTCCATCTTGGATTTCTGCTGTGCATGGTGGGAATCCTTTTATGCCTTCAGGTCTCTGAGGTCCATCCCCCAGAGGGGTGTGGCTGATGACATATAAGCCTGTGGCCCGCACATGCTCTTTGCACTTGTGTCTTGTGTCTTGGTGTTACTATTACTCTGTTCTGACTCTCGTGACTCTCCTGGTATCTGATTCGGCTTGTGACTCGACTATTCTTTGTATTCTCCTTTGATCTGACCCTCTGTTGCTGAACCCGGCTCGTGACCTGTGATTCTCGTCTGCTGTCCTGTACTGTTTTGTCCTGTTGTTGTTGACCCGGCCTGTCTGACTACTCTTTTGTCTCTTCCACCAGCTACACGCCATTGGCGGCGGCCATTACTGCAGCTGAGGTGTCTCGGGGGCCG